TACACCTCCAGTTTCAGAACATACAATGATATTAACGCCTCCAGTACAGGGTCCCTAGCCTAAGTCAATGAATCGAGAAAAGGCTGAGGGGTTAAGGACAATTCTGGAGGAAAAGCGTTTGTCTATAGACGGGGTTATAGACAGGCACCCAGAGATAGTGGTGTGCCTGAGGTACCACAAGTTCCAAATCTTCACTAAATCCTGTGGTCCTTATGTTCCAAACTGGGTGATAGAGTTCTACAGTGCATACAATGCACTAATACCCCAGAAAAAACAGCTAGCAGCAGCCTTCAAAGAAATTGACTATGTGGTTGTCAGAGGCAGGAGGGTGAAGTGTGATAGTGAGGCAATCAACCCAATCTTGGGCATGTCCACGAATATTGGGGATCACTGCCAGCACTTGATCAAAACAAAGAAGCTGGATGAGATGAAAAGGTGGTTAGCCCCACTAATTTCATATGAGATTTCAAAGTGGTTGGCGGAAGGACTTCCGATTTAAAAGAAAAAACAAAACATAGCCGCAAGGTTCTAGTTCGATTTTATCAGCAGCACAATTATTCTGTCCCAGAATGAGTCGATCATTCGCCTTGCTAAGGCAGCTTGCCTGGGTTACTTCATAGAGGACACTTGGATAAATTTGGGTACAATCATTGCTTCAGCGATACTTATGGGTGCAAGGAAGAGCCGAACCTCACTTACAATCCCAATCTTGATCACAAAATTATTCAAACAAGCCCGGGTGCCTCGACATGCCAAGAAGGATGTGGAAGTGATGCCCACAGCCTCTACTGATATCCAGAGGATCAAAGTCGAGTACATTAAGGATGAAGCAGAAAGGAAGAAGGCAACATCGGTAGAGTTAGTAAACACAGAATCATCGCCTGCAGAGGCACCTCTGCCTACTCCAACCCCTGGCCTTCAGGTATATCCATTACCACTGCTACTCTGGCTGACATTCCAGGTTTTTTTAATGTTGCACGGTCTCCAAGACCCACTACTGTTGCTGTTGTTTCTCGTTCTCCACTCACCTAGGCTTTCCTACTCCCAATGGGACAACTGGCCCTTTCTGCTGATTGTCAGGCGCAGGTTTCCCTAAATGATGTTGTGACACCTCTAAGCACTACCATTGATGCCCTAGAAGCCAGGATAGCAGTGTGTGAGCACAACCAATGGTCCACAGAGGAGGTGATGGCTTTAAATGTTGCCATTGCTGAACTGCGAAAAGATGTAGACCACCTGAAGTCCACCGATGTGTCCATCGTCTTTGGGACAGTGGATATTCCATACATGCCTGAGATGCCTCATACCACCACTGGGCATGGGGATAGAGCGAAGCAGATAGTCGATCCTGAGTCAGAAGCAGAAACTAATGAAGAGATGCTTGAGGAGATTGATGGAGCTGCAGATGAAGACCTGACTGAGACGGAAGGAATTATGATAGATGCTGCTGTGCAAGTTTCCTTAGCACCTATTGCTGGATCTAGAGGAGCTGGTCCTTCTGGAGTCACTCCAAGCACTAGCAGCAACTTAGCCAGGATCCCCTCTTTAACTCCCTCTCTATCTTTTTTTCATTTTTCTGTGTTAAATGCATCTGAGGACAAATTGCTTTTACTTGTGGTGGCTTGAGGACCACCATGTGTGCTATTTGATGTTTGTATTCTGTTTATTTAAATACTGCTCTTCTGTGAATGTTTGAGCTTATGGTTCCTTTTATTTTAAATAACAAAATGATTTGGATACCCTTCCAAAAAAATTTGAAATTTTTGCACATTTTCGCCACCCATTATAAGCTCTTACATGTGGTTGTTCTTTTGCAAAAAATTGAGTCTCGGTTCCAATCTATACCGATGACTTGAATAGTGCTCTCAATCAAATGAACATGAATGCGTGACTACGATGAGGCCAAATGAAGTTGCATATACAATATGTGAACTCTTTGCATCTCGTTTTGACTAGCCCAGTATCAAACGAGTCTCTTGTAATGATCGTTGCACACTAGCAAAAAGTGTGGAGTCTTGTTTGACTATAGTGTCAATGCCTAGTGTGATGAAATTACCTTTGAACTATGCATTATAGATCCTAGAATTTGCCCCGTTGTTCCGGTCAACTGAGTGATGTTATCTCTTGGTATGATCTTAGGCAACTTCTACGAGTGTGAGCCAATTTGACATATACCTCTTTTGAGGCCTCCCTTGTGAGCGTGTGATTCTTTCTTGAACACCCTTTGAGCCTTACCCTTCTTTGAAAGAAACTTGATGAAAACTAGACCTTTCTTAATCCATTACCTATAATCCTCTTGAATTGTTGTTAATTGAATAGACAACTTAGGCCAAAAGCCTAAGTTAGGGGTGTGGTGAAAAAGAATTAAAAGGGAAGGTCAAGAAATGGAAGGAAAGTCACCTTTAAACCATGGTGTTGAGAAAAATGGAACCCTTCCATATAACAAAAAAGAGAGAAGAGAAAGAAAAAGAAAAAGAATGAAAAAGAAAGTTATGGAATAAAGTACAAAAGAGATGGGGTTCCCAAACAATCCATGGAAAGTGAATAATAGGATGACTTATGAGCACTAAAGAGAATGGTGAAGGAAAAGGAAAGGAAGTCTTGTGAGCACCACATTTCATGAGGATGAAAGTCACTGAGCCTAAATGACCATACCATTGCACTCAACCCCATTACAAGCTTTGAAAAGACTTTTTTGATCTTGAGTGAGCTGAAACAAATGTTGATTAGAAAATACGAGTAAACCTATGGGTGAAATTATGCATTATGATCTTCTTTGTGAGTGTGAGTGTTGCCTCTGATTCCGAAGATTGAATGTGTGAAACCACTGTGTGAATATGGAATCATTCTTTGTGTGAGGGCATTTGAACACTATAGTTGAGCTTGAACTTGCATGAGTTTCGTTGATATTGGTGAGTCACAACTTGAATCTTTGAGTACACATTTGATCTTTGCATAACTAAATTGAGTCTTGATGTGGGAATTCATGATTGAGTCTTGTGTAGCACTGTTCGAGACACCCTTTTTGAATGGCTGAACTTGAGTTTGCTTGAGGAAAACAAAAGTTTAAGTTGGGGGTGTTGATGAGTCCACAAATTGGACTCATTTAGGGTTATATTTTAATAGAAATTGTGTCCCCAAATGCTTATTATCTCTCAATATCTGATGAAAACCCTTAAGTTTCAGGTATTTGATGTTTGAGGACACTACGTCGCAAAATGGAACCAAAGGGCCGAGAAGAACGAAGAAATGAAGGCCTGAGAATCGTCGAGTTCACTTGGTGAGTTGTCGAAAGGTCATACTTCACCTTTTGTTCCAGTATGTTGAGCCTTAAAGGAAAGGATCAAGTCGGCGGAGATAGGGAGCAGTCGGTGCATCGCCGAGAAGTTTCCTGAAGCAGTACCATGTCACCCAATGACCCAGAGCACGACAGTGCTAAAGGCAGGTGCAAGACGGCGATGAACTACACCAAAGAGCGAATCGCCGAGTTTATCGGCGATTCCGACTAATGACGCGGAATGATCCGCTGCAGCACAAATCTATGAATACTATAAATACTAATTAGACTTATAGTTTTAAGTGTCGAACAATTATTATAATTATCATATAGAATTGTACTTTTTAGTATTTTTCCTCTGAGTTTGAGAGGATTTAGAAGACTTGAAGAAAAAAAGGGTTTCATCTCCAAGGATTTGGACATGGGTCTTTTGGATTCTACATTCTTGGCATGTAACAAGACTTAAATCTTCATACCCATTTGAATGCAAGCTCATTTAGGTATCAATTTATATCTCTTGATGTGTGGCTAAAAACCCCAATTCTTTGGTTGTGATTTAGCGAATATGGGTTAAGATAATTATTGGGTCTTGTTTGCTGATAGTTTAATCGTAGTTTAATTGTGATTTCGTTTAGTGGTTGTGGATGAATTTAATGAATTTGTAGTTGCAAATACAAGTTTATTTATGTGTTTTCGTCTTGCTCGAGACAGAGGTCGTAAAACTAAGACCACTAGATTGATTGTCAGTGTGAGTGGGTCGACATGAGGTACAACTCGAGAGAGTGAACCCTAGTCCCATATCTACACACTCAGCTCGAGAGAGTGAGTGGGTTAAGGTGTGGGCTGGTCTTCATGTGGCAACTGTTGTCTGAGAAGAACACATTTGAAACGGGGTAAGTTTCTCAAGAGAGAGCTTATCACCCTTAAAGTCTAGCCTAGTCAAGATTACTCTATGAATCTTCTATCTAAAGCATGTACCCAATAATCTAGCTTAACCTGTATTCCCGTCACATCCCAAGGATCCCCTCTCATTACTTAGAAACTCTTGTTTATTTTGCTCTTTTTTTACTTACTTGTCACAAATAAAACCCCATTGTTAATTGACACTCTTGTGTCCCCTTTTAATTTACAATGATTTTAATCGTTAATGTTTTTAGCTACAGCTAGTTAGAACTAAGTTTTATTTTTCTGTTAATTCTCAAAATCACTCTCTTGGGAATGATCCCAACCATTGGTTGGTTATTAAACTATTGCACGATTGTAGACACTTCCATCGGAAGTTGTGTCTTGATTACGTAAACATCAGTTACCGACTTAGTATTTCCATTAAGCCCGGTGTAATAAAGGGGGGGGGGGGACAACTAAGTCATGCCTACTATTATGTCAAGTCAGTCATATCCAGCATAAACAAATCAACTCAAATCTGAAACTCCATAAACACAATCGGGCAATACTATATACATGGGTGACTATGACTGACTCTTCTACTAGGGTAGAAACATGGATGATGGCATCAAGTATATCACAAACCACATAAAATCTCAAGTCAATTGAACTGACACATACGAATACGTAGAACACAAATCAAACAAAAAATAGTCATCTGAGCACAGACAAGAGTAGCTCTTGTGACCACTGCACCACACCCTCAAACTCGGTCTTACCCAGAAAAACATAAACTGAGCCTGTCCTCTTGACAGGCAAACCTCATCGCTTGGCAGCACTACTCCTCTATCTGCATTACCATTTCTCCGGCCTCCACAACCTCACTAATTTCCTCCTCATATGCCCTGGTTCTCTACAATTTAACACACTTATAACTTATATTCAATTGCTGAACACTGAATTAGATCGCGGGGTTTTGTTCGGGTATGATTCGTGGACCATAATTGTGACTAGGGGAAAACAAAGAAGACATGTTGAGGTTCTTCCTCGTCTCATCCTGCTCTAGCGGGAAAATATCCGCACTGGAGGCCTCGCCTTGGAGGGAAGAATCCCTCCCCAGCACACAACCAACACATTCCCACGATACACCCAAGCATTCACGCGATCATTACACAAGCGCAAGACAAGTCCAAATTCTTTAATTAGTTCATTCCATAGACGACCATTACTAATCATCTACGCCTGGTACGACCCCTAAGGACAGATACCAATTGGAATCTTCTCAGTTTCAATTAAATTGCTTGTGTCCTATCAGTCGGGGCTGCGACGTCTAGTTCACTCCGTTGAGATAAAAATTGGAATAGGGATATACCAATTAGACTCAACTCATACCACAAGTGACAATAGTAGCTAGCGTACCCGACAAAACTACTAATTTCAATCATAGAACTTGGTAGAACCCAATTCTTAACCGCCTCAATCTTTAACTGATGGTAACCACACCTTAAATCAATCTTAGAGAAAATCGATGCACCTTGCAATTGATCAAAGAGGTCATCTATCCGAGGCAATGGATACTTGTTCTGAATGGTGACCCTATTCAACTATCGGTAGTCTATACACATCCTCTCTTGCTAGTGATGGTGTTACCATTTTTGTTGCTTTAGTTCGAACCATAGAGAGTGAAGGAGGAAAGACACCAATTGAATTCAAGTCATAGCACGACGGAGTAAAAAGAAGTGAGTTTTTCCTAAAGTCTTTAAGTACGGACGTCATTGTACCATTCCGCAAGACTCTACTAGACTCGTTTTGGTACAATGAGATCAACGAACCTAGGGCTCTAATACCAACTTTGTCACAACTCAGGCCGTCGTGAGTGGCACAAACACTAACCTTCCGGTAGGAGAACCAAAGCTACAGCCCAACTAATCAGCTTAACCAAAGTAATACAAATTTAAAGCTATGGAAGAAGGTTTAAATAACAATAAAAATTGAGTCCCCATAAACTCCAAAGGTTTAAATAAACTAGGCCAACTAATGTAGAAGAACAACCCCTAGAACCTAAAAGTCATTGTACCAAAACACTACTAACGACAAGTCTAAGAACAAGGGATAGAACCCCAAAACTAAAAGAACACCTTAACAAATAGTTTGAGTGCAAAACGAGTGGACTTAAACAAGAAAGATCCATGGCAGCCCGAAAGAACTTGCTCACCATTGAATCCGGTCACGCTCAATAGTCACCTAGCTGAGGTCTATCAATAGCCACCTGAAGATGCCATGTACTCAACAAAGAAAGAGCAAGTGCAGTATCAGAACATAACCACAATGTATTTGTAGGATCACACGGCCATCCCAATAAGTGAAACACATGCAAGTAACCACAACATTATAAAACAGACATATACCGAACATATACAATATTAGTCATCTTTTAAGGATCAATGAAGCATCCAACATTCTCGATAATATCCATTGGTTAACAATTTAGAGCAACAAATAGTCTTCCAATACTAATCATCACTAGATATGAACGTAATCATCACAAGTATATACACAACACAATTCAGTGGACCTATCGGGGAGCCCAATCAATGGTCCTCTCATGGAACCCAAACCCAAACTATTAGCATACCAATTTGCGGTACCCAATCTAAGTTAGTATGTCGGGACGTGGAAGCCGATCCCATGTTTATGCAAGAATGTGGCAACCGATCCCATGTTTATGCTGGAACGTAACAACCGATCCCAGTTAGTGTGTCGGATCGTGCACCCTCCCATTCAACAAACAACAATCACAATCACAATGTATATTCTCACAATCATAGAAAAAGGGGTGATTCATGGCATACAATTATTCAATTATCCTCATTTACTATTAAGGTGATCAATAATGCAACATTCTCATACATGCATTATAATGAAGCAATTACAAAGATAGATTACACCAACATGAAATCAGAACCATCACCTACCTCGAATCCAAGCTTGAATCCCCTAAGGCACTTGAATATTACATTCCGGATTCTTCTCACTTGTTCGTGATCTAAAAATATACAATTAACACAAAGATCAACAATCAAAGGTCTAATTATCAAGATTATAACAAACTCAATAATCGTAGACCAAACCCAAGATCCTAAGTATCCAAAATATGGTTTTTATCACCATAGAATCTATATCAAAACCCTCCCATATCGATATTTACCCATTCTATTACGTTCTACGGATCAAAAAATGGATTTCGAGAGTGAAAAGCTTACCTTTAGCCTCAAGAATGGTGGAAAACTATTAATAGTCACTTGGGGTTCGTTCCTTAGCTCTAAGAATCGAAAAGTGTAGAATAAGGTTGTTTAGGGGTTTACAACCAAACATAAGTCGCGTCGAATCCGCCACAGCAGCCCTCACCCCGCTACAGCAGACCCGCCTTTGCGGCAAAATTCCCGCCCCAGCGGATTGCATGGAACCAATGAGCTATTTTAATAATTCCAAGACCCCCATTTTACAACAAACCTTTAACCAACATCACTCAGAAAATACCCTTCACGCTAAGATTGATTTCGGGAGTTCTGCTCGCCCGAATTCAATTCCGTAAAGTCGTACGGGTTCCTTAACGTGTTATCAAACTACACATGTAATCAAAATCATAAATAAATCACCCGATTGTTACCAGATATCCATACACCCTAATGATTCCGATTTCATCTAAATCTGGACTAGGTTAGGAAATTCCAAGTTACTACCAACAAGTTTCCTGACCCCAATTATTTCTCCATTAGATTTTCTCTAACGACGGACTCAGGTCATTACATTATTTCTTCTCAAAAATGGGTGGCAAAGTCAATAGAGAGACGGGATTTTCCCGTTCCTATTGCTCCCATAATGAACACCACTTTCTTCTTGTTGAACTTGTTCCTACTCATGAAAGTATTCATTTTAGATACACATAAAATAAAATCAAAATAATAATTAGTTTATAATAGTAAATAATCTCATGAAAACCACTCATGCATATAAGAATCTGGTAAATATAAAGTTAATAAGTAGAAACCTTGATTGAGATGGAATATACTATGTAAAAAATATTTTTTTTTCTTGATAGTGGCTATGAAAGAAATTGCATTCAACTTTTATAGTAAAATCTGTTTGTGGACTTATTAATTGACATACCATATTAAGAATTACTAATATCTTTTAGGATAAGAATGACTTTTGAAAAATTTATAGATATGTCAACTTGAATTTTGGTTATTATTACTAAATATATTTTAGGATAAAGTTATTAGATGTACATTGTTAGGAGATCACATATAACTGCGCTTTTATAGTGAAAATGTGATTATGAACTTATTAATTGCTATACCAAATAAAAATAATAGAAATATATATATATATATATATGTATATATATAATTCATATCTTTTTGATGAGAATAGTTCTTGAAAAAATATACAGATACGTCACCTTGAATTTTCGTGATTAAGCTTAAATAATTTCAGGATGACGTTTCTAGATGTACATTGTTATGAGATCACTTACAAAATTGACGAAAAGATCGATTTCAAAAGGATTGTAAAAAGAACTCAATAAAATCTCTGAAGGAATATATTCAAGTGATAATGCGTCAATTCTTACACTATTTAACAACAAGTCATAAGTGTTATGTCTAATTCTATTGGAGGGAAGGGAAAAATTATCGATAACTATTTCAATTACGAATATTTATATTAACTCGTGCAACATGTAATAATAGATAAAGATTTTGTTGAATCAAGCTTCCTTCACCGCTATTGAATTAGGTAGAATATATTTCATTAAATGATCATTATCGATAGATTGCAAATTTACTATTTTCTCTTCTTTGTCTATGTAACAATTTTATATTTGCAGTTAAGAATTCTAATCTTTCAAATTCTTTTAGGGTAGAATCTTCCTGATCATTTATGGTCATTTATTTTCTTACTCTATTACCTTGACATTATGAATGCTATCATGTAATTGTGTAAGTACGTATTTATATTAATATATATTAAATATAGAAGACTTGGACTTAGACTTGGGGCTTGGGATTGGATCGGAACTTAAAATAAATATTTTTATAAATCTTAAATATTTGCTATATAAATAAAAATGTTTTACATACAAGAATAATATATATATAATGAAGGGTCATATATATATATATATATATATCTGTAATGCGATACAAACTATACAAAATAGGTCAAAAATTAAAGTGCCGAAGAGACAAAATAACTCAAGATAGAGATAATGATAGTTTATGTTCACTCAATAATAATATTTGATCATCATTTTTGAGAAATCTTTTCACACTATCCACGCATGGTTTCAAAGTGGTATTCCTCCATACTTCGTCAACAACTTCTTCTCTATCTCCTTTTAAAACATCAGTAGCAACAATATGATGCACCAACCACATTTTCTCATTTATTAAGAGTTGAATTTTGTCAAGCTGGTGACAAATTAATAAATGAGTATTACGCTTGATATTCGCAGTTGACGATTGAAGAATCGTCTTCATTGATTCATCATCTTCGTCTATAATGGTTTCTTCTCTTAAATATCTGTCCATTTCAGGGACACCAATGGACCGTCGGATTCCTTTGGTGTAATATGTATCTGAAATATAAATCTGCCGCACCTCCTCCACTAACCCTGCAGGCAACATAAATTTAAGAAGAGTTTTATTTAGTGGACCATAGATTTGTTAACAAAAAATATTATTTAAGAAAATTATAGAAGAAAAGATTTTAGCTAGATGCATGATTATGTCTTGATTGATAGATAAAACAATTACAAAAATTACCTGCATTGACCATTTCATCAACCCTTATGTCAACTCTACGGTTCAAGACTGATTGCTTTACATCAATCCAAATAAAGCAAGTATAATACTTATATTTGAACATGAACACAGGGTCTTCCAAAAGTTTTTCAATATACGAATTTGACCCTCCAACAATAATTGGAACACGTTGAGTCTTCAAAAAAAATTCTATGTAGACAATAGCTTGAAAACAAAAATTTCAGTTGTAAAGTCGGAATCTAGCTCAATTTGAACTAAGAAAATGTGATCAAATAAACTTTCTCAGAATTGGAATAAATAATTTTTTAATAGTAAAATATATTTCGACTAGAATCTACAATTTCTACTATTAAATTATCTAGGTAGTCATTTGATATAAATATTGTTAGAAATAAATATATATACTTAACAAATAGTATCGTACACCTTGTTTCTCAGTGTGTGTGATCTTGTTTGTAACAATTTCAAGTCCCTTATATACTTGCATTTTGTCCGAGTTGATTACTTCTCCTCGAAAATGGGTTGCAAGGTCAACAGAGAGACGGGATTTTCCTCTTCCTGTTGCTCCCATTATGAACACCACTTTCTTCTTGTTGAACTTGTTATTGTTGATAAAAGTATTCATTTTAGCTACACATAAAATAAAATCAAAATAATAATTAGGTTACAATTTTCACGACCCAACCCACCGGGCCGTGCGGGCACCTACATACTACCACCTAAGGAGGAGAACCCTCTTTTCCCGACAGGTACAACATGCGGAAATTAAATAAAATGGAAGATAAAAGAAATAGTAGGATTTTATAAATAAGTACACTTAAAACAAATCGGTTTAAAAACTTGTAAAGTGATTAACATCCCCAAGGATCTAGTCTAAACAGTTACAAGAGCAACTAAGAGTACAAACTGGACATAATAAAAAAAGACACAACTCCCACCATGCGGAATGAAAAGTAGAAGCTGCTGGAGAAATTCTTCGTCTTCGACTAATGAAACATCACCAACCTGCATCCAGACTATGCCCAAAAAGGCATAGCAAGAGTAGTATCATTACAAACCACACGAACTGGTAGGCATCATCGGCCAACCCGACGCCCACCACATTTCATAAGAAAATGAACTAGTAAGAATATGCCATAAGTCACTCGCTCCTCCACCTTTACCTCACTTCAATACCTCCAAAATTACACTAGTACCACGTACTACTAACCACCTCCTCATTCAACCCACTCACTAGTTCCTTGATCATAGCCCAGTCATTCTAGCACATAGAAGAGACCACGAAATAACTACACGTATTTCGTCTAAACACCCATTGCCTACCCTTACTTCCTCTTTTATCGGATGTCCCTGCCTTCGTCACATGGTACATTGTATCAAGCTTGCTAACTATGAACCACGAACCCCCTTTTTCATCTTTAAAATTAATCTATGTGAACAAGTCAACCATCATCCACTTTCGTTACCCCCAAACATGGGTTTACAGGAAATGCATGAATTATGTACACTACATCCACTTCTCACCCTCACAATATAATTGGGTCATCATAGTTACTTACAAATGGGTAGGACAATCATCAAATAGCACTTACGAACAACACGCACTTCATCATTACTAGATGCACAAGTATGTCAAATCATTGGTCCTCTCAAGGGACCAAAACCCAAACTGTTAGCATACTAGAACATGGTGCCCGATCCAATAATTATACCGAAACATGGCAACTGATCTCATATTTATGTTGGAACGTGGCAACCGATCCAAGTTAGTTATGCCGAAACGTGAAAACCGATCCAAGTAAGTGTGTCGGAACGCAACACCCGATCCATTCAACAAGCCACATTCACAATTAAAAAATACATACTTATAATCATACAATCAAGTCATGATTCTTGGCATTCCTCATTCCTATATTCTCGTTTACATTTAGCGTGATCAACAATGCAAGTTTCGCATTCATACATGTATCATAACGAAGCAAGGACGAGCATAAATCACAAACATTCCAGTGAACTATTCATTGACGTATATCATGTAAACGTTGGTTCGACCATCCTTAGCCCTAGTTCATCCTCTAAGGCTTATTTCTAGAGTTTTAATCATAATTCATTCGGTGCACAAAGGCCTACGCATAAATTCTACCATTTATTTACATATATTACTCAGTGAGCACAGATTTATAACTACTCAATTCATAAAACCTAGCCTACCTAGGCGCCAAGCAGCTGCACAGAGTTTTGGTGTTTGATTCTTATTTCCGGGATTCGTGACGGTGATCTAGATCAAAAATCCACAATCCATCGACATCTTCAGTATAGAAATCTCTCCTTCCCTTTCTCCCAAGCTTGCAATAGATTTTTGGGGGTTTCTAAGGTGTTTCACGACTAGACTAGGCATTTTAGGGAGAAGGATAGAATAAGATTTCGCGTTATTTACATTGTGTCTCGCTTATCCCTCTCTAGCGCCAACTAACCCCACCCTGGCGCCGCTGTCCTAGCGGCATCTGGCCCTCCCTAGCAGGATAATAGCCTAGAATTTTCCTAGATTTTTGTTTCTCCTAAATAGCAACGGTTCGGGTTGTTACAACAATAGTAACTAATCTCATGAAAACCACTCATGCATACAGTCAGACATTAAAAAATCTTGTAAATATAAAGTTAATAAGTAGAAACCTTGCTTCAGATGGAATATATTATGAAAAAAAAAAAAAATCTTGATGGTGGCTATGAGAGAAATTGCATTAAACTTTTATAGTAAAATCTGTTTGTGGACTTATTAATTGACATACCATATTCAAAATTATAGATGTCTTTTAGGATAAGAATAACTTTTGAAAAAATTATAGATATGTCAACTTGAATTTTGGTAATTATTATTAAATATATTTTAGGATAAAGTTATAGATGTACATAGTTACTAGATCACATACAACTGGGCTTTTATAGTAAAAATGTGATTATGAAATTATTAATTGTTATACCAAATATATATATATAATTAATATATTTTTGGATGAGAGTAGTTCTTGAAAAAATATACAGATATGTCACCTTGAATTTTGGTGATTAAGCTTAAATAATTTTAGGATGACCTTTTTAGATGTACATTGTTATTAAATCACATACAAAATTGACGAAAAGACCGATTTCAAAAGGAATAATATTTCTGAAGGATTATATTCAAGTGATAATGCGTCAATTCTTACAATATTTAACAACACATCATACGTGTTAAGTCTAATTCCATTAGAGGGAAGGGAACAATTATCGATAACTATTTCAATTATGAGTATTTATGTTAACTTGTGCATCATGTAATAATAGATAAAGATTTTATTGAATCAAGCTTACATCACCGTGGTTTAATTAGGTAGAATATATTTCCTTAAATAATTAATACCAATAGATTACAAATTTTCTATTTTGTCAAATTCTTTTAGGGTAGAATCTTCCCTAACATTTATGGTCATTTATTTTCTCACTCTATTACCTTGACATTATGAATGATCTCATGTAATTGTGTAAGTACATATTTATATTAATATATATTAAATATAGAAGAGTTGGACATGGACTTGGACTTGGACTTGGGGCTTGGGCTTGGATTGGAACTTAAAATAAATATTTTTATAAATCTTAAATATTTGCTCTATAAAAACAATGTTTTCAAAGACAAGAATATATAGAAAGAAGGGTCGTATTATATATATATTTGTAATGCGATACAAACTGTACAAAATAGGTCAAAAATTAAAGTGGCGAAGAGAAAAAATAACTGAAGATAGAGATAATGATAGTTTATATTCACTCAATAATAATATTGTGATCATCATTTTTGAGAAATATTTTGTAACGACCGGGTTCCATCATTATAGAAAATCCAACGAGGAAAAATTTTGGGTCGAAAAGCATTTTTGTAATAACTTGGAATTTCTCAACCTAATCCAGATTAGGACGAAATTAGAGTCATTAAAGTGTAGGGAAATCTTGTAAAAATTGGGTGATTTAATTATGATTTTGATTACATGAGTAGTTAGATAAGTCGTTAAGGAATCCATACGACTTTAGGAAATTGAATTCGGGTGAGTAAAACTCCCGGAATCGATCTTAGCATTACGGTATTTGTTGAGCGTCATTGGTTGAAGGTGTGTTGTGAAATGGGGGTCTTGGAATTATTAAAATGGCTCACTGTTTTGTTCTAGCCGCTTTGGAGGTGCTTTTGGTCGCTTTGGCGGGGCCACTTTAGCGGGATGAGGACCGCTGTGGCGGGCCAATAGCGACTTAAAGGCCTAAATAAACCCCAAAATGACTTTATTTTGCACTTTTCGATTTTTAGAGCTAAGGAACGAACCCCAGGCGACTCTTCATTTCCCGAATCCATTTTTCGATCCGTAGAACGTAAGAGAATGGGTAATTATCGATGGGAAGGGTTTTGATCTAGATTCTATGGTGACAACAGCCCTAACTTGGATATTGGGATCATGGGTATGATCTAGGGTTGTTAGAATTGTTAGTAATTCGGGTAATTATTGATTGTTTATTGATTCTCATATTGTATTGATTGTTTGTAGACCAAGAACAAGCGGAACAAATTAGGAAAGGGAAGGATCAAGTTTCTTAGGTTTTCAAGCTTGTTTCGAGGTAGATGATGGTTGTGATTCTATGATTGTGTGATGTATCTTGGTTGTTGCTTCATTATGATACATGCTTGTATGTGAATGTTGCATTATTGATCACATTAATTGTAAATGAGGATAGATGAATGATAAATGTCATGAATCATGACTTGTTTGTATAATTATGAGAATATACTTTTGATTGTGATTGTAGCTTGTTGAATGGATCGGTTGCCATGTTTTGGCATAATTATTGGGTCGGGTACCACGTTCCGGTATGCTAACAGTTTGGGTTTGGGTTCCATGAGAGGACTAATGATTTGATATTATTATGTATCTTGAGAAATGTGAAACTATACCTTGTTCATAAATGTTGATAATATTGTATATGTTCAATATATGCATGTGATTATATTGTTGTAATGACTTATATATGCTCCACTTTGTGGGATAGCCGCGTGATCCTACCAGTAAACTGTGGATGTGCATTGATACTGCACATGCTCTTTCTTTGTTGAGTACATGACATCTTCAGGAGGCTATTGACATACCTCGTCTAGAAGATTAGTGATCGCCAATCGAATTCAAGGGTGAGCTTGTTTTTCCAGGCTGCCATGAGTTCTCCTTTCGTGTATTTCCACATTTCAAAATTAGACTTGTTCTAGTTAGTATTAGTTCATTAGTTTGGGGTTATGACCCTTTTTGTTAGACTTATGGATCTTGTTAGATGTTTTGTTACATTGCCTTTCAGGTTCTAGGCATTACTTCCACAATGTAAGTTTATTTATTTATCTTTTCACAATATCCACGCATGGTTGCAAAAAGGTATTCCTCCATGCTTCACCAACAACATCTTTTCTATCTCCTTTGAAAACGTCAGTAGCAATAATATGATGCACCAACCACATTTTGTCATTTATTAACCGTTGACTCTTGTCAAGTTGGTGACAAAATTATAAACGAGTACTGTGCTTGATATTCACAATTGACGATTGAAGAATCGTCTTCTTTGATTCATCATCTTCGTCTATATTGGTTTCTTCTCTTAAATATATGTCCATTTCGGGGACACCAATTGACCATTGGATTCCTTTGGTGTAATCTGCATATGGAATGAAAATCTGCCACACCTTATCCACTAGCCCTGCATGCAACATAAATTTAAGAAGAATTTTATTTAGTGGAACATACATTTGATAACCAAAAAAATTATTAAGAAAATTATACATGAAAAGTTTTTAGCTAGATGCATGATTATATCTTGATTGATATATAAAAAAATTTCAAAAATTACTTGCATTGACCATTTCATCAACCCTCATGTCACCTCTACGATTCAAGACTGATTGTTCTACATCAATCCAAATAAAGCAAGTATCATACTTATATTTGAATATGAACACAGGGTCTTCCACAAGTTTTTCAATATACGAAATTGACCCTCCAACAATAATTTGAACACGTTGAGTCTTCAAAATATTTTCTATGTAGACAATAGCTTGCAAACAAAAATCTTCAGTTGTGAAATCGGAATCTGGCTCAATTTCACCTAAGAATATGTGATTAAATTAAATTTCTCAGAATTGAAATAAATAATTTTTTTAATAGTAAAGTATATTTCCACTAGATTCTTCAATTACTAATATTAAATTATCTAGGTAGTCATTTAATATAAATATTGTTGAAAATAAATATATAAACCTAACAAATGGTGTCGTACACCTTGTTTCTCCGTGTGTCTGATCTTGTTTGTAACAATATCAAGTCCCTTATATATTTGCATATTGTCCGAGTTGATTATTTCTCCTCGAAAATGGGTGGCAAGGTCAACAGAGAGATGGGATTTTCCAGTTCCTGTTGCTCCCATTATGAACACCACTTTCTTCTTGTTGAACTTGTTATTGTTGATGAAAGTATTAATTTTAGCTACACATAAAATAAAATCAAAATAATAATTAGTTTACAATAGTAATAATCTCATGAAAACCACTCATGCATACAGACATTAAAAAATCTTGTAAATATAAAGTTAACAATAAGAAACCTTTGTCGAGATGGAATATACTATGTAAAAAAGATGTATTTTTCTTGATGGTGGCTATGAAAGAAATTGCATTAAACTTTTATAGTAAAATATGTTTGTGGACTTATTAATTGACATATCAAATTCATAATTACTGATATCTTTTAGGATAAGAATGACTTTTGAAAATTTTATAGATATGTCAACTTGAATTTTGGTAATTATTATTAAATATATTTTAAGATAAAGTTATTAGATGTACATTGTTAGGAGATCACATACAACTGGGCTTTTATAGTAAAAACGTGATTATGAACCTATTAATTGGTACACCAAATTAAATATATATATAATTCATATCTTTTTGGATGAGAATAGTTCTTGAAAAAATATATAGTACGTCACCTTGAATTTTGGTGATTAGGCTTAAATAATTTTAGGATGACGTTTCTAGATGTACATTGTTATGAGATCACATACAAAATTGACGAAAATATCTATTTCGAAAGGTGTAACGACTCGGAAAATGATAGGTTAAGCAAGAGCCTATGACTTTGTGTTGACTTTATAATGAGGTTCTATGAGGGGTTTTTATGTAATTTCATTTTAATTGTGTTACATCCGACAATTTAAAATGAATATGAAGTAGCTTGAAATTGGAAGTAGTCACTTTTGGAAAAAGTTCAGAACTTGGAAATTTGGTTAAGTGTGGGAAATCAGTGAGTTTTTGGCCAACTTTGAGCAGTCATAACTCCTAGCTCAGGATGATCCAGGAGTAGTTCCAGTTATGTTTGGAAAGCCCTTGGAACGATCTTTTCAACGCCACCGAGTTTGCTCGATTCCGAGTTCGTATGAGCGAGTTATGCCCTTTGAAAGTTGGGCAGTGAGCAAGGAGTCCGTCCGGAATTATAAGGGCATTTTGGTCTTTTCACAAATCTTTTCTTTTGAGGTTATATCATTGTGTTAGGCTGATTGTGGATCATTTTTGTTCCATTTTAAAAGAGTAAGAGTTAGGGTCCTTGAGTGAAGAAGAGAAGAAGAGGGGAAGAAGAAGAAGAAGAAGAAGTTGGAGCTAGGATTGAAGATTTTGAGTTCCTTCTTCTTCAATTCTCGTGGGTTTTCAACTTAGAGGTATGGGGATTCTTTATCCTTGATTATTCTTCCTTTCAAGGATCTCAATTCAAATGATTCAAAGTTCTTCCAAAAACACAAAAATCCTAATTTCGATTCTAAGCATGGGTTCTTGCATTAAATGATTTTTTTTTATGATTTACGTTATTAATGGTGTCTATTGATGGTTTTAAGAAAGAAATTTCCATGAACCCATGTCTTGACAAGTTTCCTAAAGTTGGCTTATGAAGTGGGTTTATTATTTATGATTGAATGATGATGGAAGTATGCTTGGATTGAGTTGAATAGTTGACTTCTATTATTATCTATGCTTATCTATTGTGAATTGTTGGAGAGTTGAGGAATGGTGATTGTGGTTTGGGAAAAAGGGTAAGTGGACCTAACTTCATTGTTAAGGTAGAATTGATATAGAATTGTGATAGATTGATGTGTGATCCACTTATGGTGGAGGTGTTTACTTATTGAATGTATTGTGTTTATGGCCTTGGAGGCATTATATGAGGAATTGAAGTGTTGACATGATATCATATATGTGAATGGGATGTGAAGGACTTGAATGAGAATCAAATGAAGTAAAGGCAATCATGTTGTGAATATAAAGGTGTTCATGTGATCTCAAGGTGATCTTGTTTAAAGTGTTATTGTATTGTGATTGAAAGTGTGTCCTCTATTATTGTTCATATGTGATGATGATGGAATGTGAAGGAACTTTATAATGTGATGTGTGTCTTGACTTGGTAGACTTAGGTGCCTCTTCTTGATACATTAGAAGCTTTGTTGAATATGAATCGATAGGATATGGCATTCCTTTCGGATGTAAGTGACGAAACCTATTTTTGAGCTGGATAGTGTTTGGTATTTTAGGCATATCTCTTGCTCTAGAACTTATTTTGTAGAGAATAAATATGATTTGGAAATCTAACTCGTATACCTACAACTTTTATGTTTATGTAAAATTCTAATTTAACTGTTATGGATACGAAATATGGGACGTAACATAGGGAAAGTTCTGCCTAGATTCCGAGAATTGAAATCCTGCATGACCAGCGGCTAGTGTCTTGACTATATCTTTTTGTACAAAATATATTTTGCGGTGATCCTTGTTTGTTTGCAACCCTAAGAGATGTATCTACATCTTTCATGAAGGTTATAAAGTCTAGTTCTGCCATTTTCCTTTTCAAATCTAAGATGCAACATGAGGTACTAGGCTGGCCAGATTCCCTGTTTTGGGAGCATAGTTGTATTTGTACATGCTAGGCTTACTTATGATGATGATCCTATTTTACGTCATCATTACTGAGCTAATAGAAGTTAAATAAGTTATGTAATTGTATTTCTAAGGTTGATATACTCGTGAACAAGTTGAGGTATGTGGGTTTGATTGTGGAAACCTTCCTTTCCACAAGTCCAACCATTTATCCTCTATTTCTACTTCAAGTTTATGGGTCCTTATGATTATTTATGAACTCTTGAATTATGGAATTACTACTACACATCCTATTATGGTCTATTTTGCATAATATCATGAAATGGAATTATTATGTGATGTTTATAGTTTTCATGCTTCCATGATCAAATTATGAAGGTTGATATATATGTATGTTGTTGGTGGGCTGATTTATATGGATTTTGGAATTGGTTGCCTAGTACGGGGGGTAGTAGGCCCGTATAACCATATCGAGGGGTTGGTACCTTGGTTGCCTAGTACGGGGGGTAGTAGGCCCGTATAACCATATCGAGGGATTGGTACCTTGTTTGCCTAGTACGGGGGGTAGTAGGCCCGTATAACCATATCGAGGGGTTTGTACCTTGGTCCCTAGCTCGGGGGGCGGTAGGCCCGGGTAACCACATTGAGGGGTTTGTACCTCTTTCGCCTCTCCAAGGGGGTGGTAGGCCTTGGAAATACTATATTGATGGTCACTCGCCACACATGTGCTACGCCCCACTAAATATGATTTATTTTATGTAAGCATCATTATACATATCATCTCATTAATATGCTATCTATCGGGTATGATTATGCATGTTGCCTATAAAGTCCTTATCTAAGGTAATCTTGGGGAACACTTAAGTGTGCTTGAAGAGGATCGTGTGGGCGGTCACTTCTTGTCTCACTCAAGTGTGTCTTAAGGTTATATTAGGTAGAGGTCCTATGGTAATAAAAAGACATGTGTCCTTCTAAAGTTAAGCATGGGTTGTATATGGATTTATGTTAAGTATATGTATGGTTGGCTATGGTCTTATATGTTAATGTTGACTTGTATTATGTCTCTTATACTTGTAACGGAAAGGTTTTATCAAAGGATATGAAAGCATACATTTCTTGTAAATGTCCGTTGTGCATATTTTCTTGCATGGTCTCCATACTTAGTACTTAATTGTGCTAACCCCTTTCTTTCGCTTTTTGACTAAAGTGTAGGGATTTGGAGATGGTGATATGTCATGGCTACTTGTTAGGTTTTTAAGAGTTGAAGATGAAGACTTGGTGAGTCCTCATAGATTCGAGGGCAATAACCAACATGTTTCTTTTTTTATGTCTCTCTAGTATTTGCTTAAGTTTTGAGTGGGCTTAGTCCCAATGTTATATTTAGGTATTAGATGGTTTTGAGACATATTGTATAAAGTCTAGAAAGTCTTCCGCTTGCTATTTATTGAAAGTATCTTCGTGTGTGAAGAAAGTTTTTAATTCCTTATGGTTTTGGTGTCTATGCGATGAATGAATGATAAGAGGCTTGTATTAGACCTCTTCGAGGTCGAGTACGCCGGTTACGACTAGGGGGTGCTCCCGGGTCGTGACAAAAGGATTGTAAAAAAACTCAATAATATTTCTGAAGGAATAATTTCAAGTGATAATGCGTCAATTCTTACACTATTTAACAACACGTCATAAGTTTTAAGTCTAATTCCATTAGAGGAAAGGGAACAATTATCGATAACTATTTCAATTAAGAGTATTTATATTAACTTGTGCAGCATGTAATAATAGATAAAGACTTTATTGAATCAAGATTTCATCACCGTGATTGAATTAGGTAGAATATATTTCCTTAAATGATCATTACCTGTCACGACCCCGACCATCGTGATTGGCACCCACACTAACCCTCTGGTGGGAGAACCACTACTACAACCCAAACAAAGCAACTAAACCAAAAACTAGAGCAATTAAGGATACGAAGATGATGTTTGCGTAATAAAGACACAACTTCCGATGCAAGTGTCTACGATCGTACAATAGTTTAGTAACCCAACCGAGGGTTGGGATTGTTCCCAAGAGAGTGGTTTTGAGAATTAATAGAAAAATAAATTTTAGTTCTAACTAGTCGTAGCTAAATACATTAACGATTAAAAAAATTGTAAATTAAAGGGGGACACAAGAGTGTCCATTAACAATGGGGTTTTGTCACTAGTAAGTAAAAACAACAAAATAAACAAGGATTTCTAAGTAATGAGAGGGGATCCTTGGGATGTGACGGGAATACGGGTTTAGCTAGATTATTGGGTACATGCGTTCGATAGAAGATTCATAGAACTAAATTCTATGCGTTCTAATGCGAGTTGAGCGTTTTGGAATGAAACTAGGATTCGCTCTCTCAAGCAGAACCTCATGTCGACCCACTCCCACCGGCAATCAATTTAGTAGTTTTAGTTTTACGACCTCTATTTCGAGCAAGCCAAAAACACATAAATAAACTTGTATTTGCAACTACAAA